GGTAAGCTTTGCGAATGGGCAGCCCCGTAGCTCTCATTCTGATAGGCTGTTTTCACATAAGAGCAATGGCCTGGAAGAAGCACAGGCTGCTGACACCCAGCTCTGTAATTTGCTGAAGCTGGATCCTGTTCTGCTCAGAGGGTCTGATGGTATCAGCCTCTGGAGAATCAGTGTCTGACACTCCCAGCCTGTTGTTCATATTGGTTTGGTCTCAGCTGAGCTATTTCTAACAACGAAAAACATATCTGAGAGAGTTACAATTTGCTGTAATCATATTTTTCTAGTTTTTCTCTGTGATAATTACTCCCATAAATATCATTGCTTCACCTCAGCCCAAGAGAGTGCTCTCTGTTTCTGTGCTCAGCCTCACCCTTCCACACCCGCACTGCTGGGGAAGGACAAGGATAGTGTTTGTTATTACTAGGGCCACTCCAGCTATGGGGCTGCTGGGACTTCCAGCCTTAGTCCAGTTTCTGTCCTGTATTACCTGATCAGAAATTGACATCTGAAGGGAAAACTGATGAAGAAAAGGTGTTAAATTGTGCACATGTTTGTGTGCAACAATATGTAATGAAGTTTTGACTTGGTTGTCAACCAGACAAAGACTTGAAAACCAGAAGTCAAGGTGTAGCTTTGCAATTAGTCTTGGACTTTACTGCTGGCCCGTGGATTTAGTTTAGTAATAGAGAAGGATTTTAATGTAATTAATGGGTTGCAGATCTCAGGAACTCTTGCTCCTACTGTGCTTACAAACAGCTTTTATGATAGACCCTTAGACTTTATAGGTGTAGGGACTATGTTTAACCATCAGCTTCAGGGTCACAGACACTTCTGGACTTCAGAGTGGTACCAGGAGTACCCAGAAAAGAGGCACTTGTTCTGCCAGTGTAACAGTGTGAGTAGGTATCTGGGAAGGAAAAAGAGGTGACAACGAGACCAATATTGCTGGCCCCATTTTAAAGCTGGTGAAATGTGGCAAAAGACTGAAGGATTCACTGAAGTTACCTCTGTTGCTTATGGCAGACCTGGTGTTCAATGTAAAATGTCCAGATTTGTAATGTACCTTCTTAACTACAAGGCCATTCTTCCCCTCCAGAAGATGATATATTGGTATATAAATGTGCATTGATGTAATGCCAAGCTATAAACCACAAGCCTTTCAGAACTCATGTCCCTGATAGATTGCGAAAGAACTTGAAGTCAGAAGAATTGTGGTTTGTCTGACCTTATGCTAATCATTCTCCTTACTTGTGTCTTGGTCAAATAGAAAACGGATAGAATAATGAACCCTTTTGAAAACCTTCATTTCTGGGTGTTGGTCACGACCCAGTTTTCATAAGTTGCTAGGATATGGGGATAATCAGGGAAATGAAGATTCTATCTTATAAGACAAGACTGAAAAGCTTGATTTAAACAAAAGAAATTATGAGAAGGAATATTAGTACACTGTGAGGGGAGTAAATATCAGAGCTAATTAAGTTCAAGGACAAAATTGGCATCTGAACAAATAGATATAAACAGGGCCCTAATAAATGTGGGCTGGAAATCTCAAGAAGCTGCATTATGAGAATCTGGAACAGCTTTCCAAGGGGAACAGTAGGGCCAGAGAAAGTAAGTGCTTTCAAAATGGATCTCCATCAGTTTATGAACTGGGTATCATGCCCCAGACAATCAGAGAGCTAGGCTCTCAGGATAAACAAGTCCAATGTTCCTAGGTAACAGCCATATTTGTACACATCATCACAGGATTATTTGGGTTGGCAGGGCCCTCTGTAGATCATCCAGTCCAACCCCTGCCAAGGGCCACCCAGAGCAGGGCACACAGGAACATGTCCAGGTGGGTTTGGGATGGCTCCAGAGAGGCAGACTCCACAACCCCCTGGGCAGCCTGTGCCAGGGCTCTGACATCCTCATGTAAAGAAGTTCTTCCTCATGTTGAGGTGACACTTGGTGTGTGCTAGTTTACGGCCACTGCTCCTTGTCCTGTCACTGGGCACTGCTGGAAAGGGTCTGGCCCTATCCTCCTGGCACCTCCCTTTGAGCTATTGATCTGCATTGATGAGATCCCCTCTCAGGCTGCTCTTCTCCAGGCTAACCAGGCCCAGCTCCTACAGTCTCTGCTCACAAGAGAGATGCTCCAGACCCCTGAGCATCCTTGTTGCCTCCACTGGACCCTCTTCAGTAGCTCCTTGTCTCTCTTGTGTTGAGGAGCCCAGCACTGGGCACAGTGCTCCAGATGTGGCCTCACCTCAGTCAGGAGAGGGAGAGGAATCACCTCCCTTGACCTGCTGCTGCACTCCTCCTGATGCATCCCAGGATACTCTTGTCCCTCCTGGCTCAAGGGCCAGCTCATGGTGAACTCATCATCCACCAATACACCCATGTCCTTCTCAGCTGAACTGCTCTCTAGTGGGTCAGCCCCAACCTGTGTGGGTACCTGGGGTTCTTCCTCCCCAGGTGCAGTGCCCTGCACTCGCCCTTGTTGAACCTCATGAGGGTTCTCTCCACCCAATTCTCCAGCTAGAAAGTCTTGGGGATATTCTGTAAGAAAGAAGTAGGCAGCTACAGTCTGTCTCAAGCTCCTCTGGACTTGCTCCAACAAGCTGCATGTCTTCTTATGTCTTGCACACAGTGCTGCAAGAGGGGTTTTCACAAGCGCAGAGTGGAGGGGCAGGATCTCTTTCCAACCCCACCGGCCAAAGCACTTGAGATTTTCCTCAATATTCCCAATTAATCCTTCCCCCTCCTGAAGTGCCGGGGTAGGAGTACAGCGGGGGGGGGGGGGGGAGAAAGGTGGGGGGCCTGCGTCGCCGTGCGCGGCCAGCAGGGGGCGCCGCAGCCCCGCGCCTCTCCGCGCAGCTCCGCACCGCTCCGCGCCGCGCAGGCGGGATAAGCCCCGCGGGGCCGGCGGAGACAAAAGGGCGCTGTGCGTCCGCCTCCGCGGCAGCGTAGGGTGCGCGGCCGCTCCTCCTCCTCCTCGGGCAGCCTGCGCCAGGGACAGGCTCAGCCGCCCCAGCTGCCTCCATCCCCGCCCCGCTGCGAGGAAACACCGTCCTGTTGGTAGCGGCAATAGGGCAGTGGGGCACAGGCAGCCCGCGGGAGCTGTTAACACCGGGTAGAAAGCGTGTCCGCACAAACCTGTGCTCAGGTGTGCTGGGGGAAAGAAAGGGAGCGTCCGCTTTCTGTTGGGCGCTGCTGGTTCTGAATCACAAGGAACAATGAGTGGATGGCTTTAACATTGGGGTGATTTTTTGTTTTGGCTCGGCGTTTTGTGCAGCACCTGGCGGTGCCCGAAGCTCCCGCTGGACCCGCATCTTATCCTTTGGGATAGGGGCTCGGGGTTGGGGGAAGAAGAAAATGATGTAGGGTTGCCCCCTCGCAGCCCGCTTGGCTTTCCCGAAACATGGAGCGCGGGAGGCAGACTCTCAAGTTGTGCCCAAGGAAAAGTTGCCCGGCGAAGGGAAGTCGGGCGGGATCCCTAGCGCCGGTACCCGCCTGGCCCTGTTTGGTGTTGGGTTTTTTGCCTTGTTCCTCGGCAAACCCCGGGAAAGGGCAGATTTTGCCTGAGAAGTTTCCCGTAGTCGAATGGAGAGAAGGGGCGAGAGCAAACAACGAGCTGCACCTCGCCTTGTTCTGTCTTGTGCTCCCCTGGCAGCGCTTGGATCTGGGGACAGGCGGAGCACTGCTCCGTTCTGGAGCCCGCTCTCCTCGCTCGTAGCCCCTCCTAAAGCGACGCGCCCGAGCCCTCGAGTTGCAGAAGCAAAACCAACACTAAGTTCTTCTCCGAGAAGAGGGTCCGGGGAGCGCTCGCCTCGGCTGGGCCCTGACCTGCAGAGGGCAATAGTTGGACGCAAATGCGAACAAAGGCAGGGAGGCTTGATGGCTCGGCACTGTGGCCGGGACCCAAGAATGCCGTGTAGGTAGGCAGCAGGGCTTAATTAATGCATATTGAAACAAAAGATCTGGTAAATTGTTCGATTTGTCTTTAGGCTACATTTTCAAGGCTAATCTAATTCATAACTGTTACATTTATTCTAAAGAGATTAACACAAACTTCCAGGAGAGGCAAGCGGTTAACTCCAGAATTATCCCCAAAAAACTATTTACCGGAACGTTTACATCAGTATTTTTAGCGTTATTATTCTCCGCTGAAGGGATGGGCGAGGTGGAAACGGACGGCGGTGACGGCCGCGTCGCGCCTGGCCATTGTCTGCGGGGCCGGGCTGCTGCTGTTCAGCACCATGCGGGCGGACAGCGCCCAGCCCTGCTCCCCCCCTCATCCCCGGTCCCGGCTCCTCCACCTGGGTCTGGGAGATCTGGTGGGGGCTTCGCCTCCCATTCATCCTGGCAGCCTTTCCTCCCCGCTGGTGATGGATTTATCAGGGAGCGGAAAAGAGCTCCCCGACGGGCGCACTTTGTCTGCCCGTCTGTGCGCGTAGACGCGGCTGCCGCTGCTGTAGACGTCTGCAGCTTGTGTACATACAGCGCTTTAATAATTGCATATACGTCTCCATAACCTCATTATTCAGGAAAGACTGGAAAACGCGACCAAATTGGAGTGTTGGCCGCAAGGGTGATTGCAGGTCTGGATGCACACTCTGTCTCTTCCCAACTCACCGCCCCTTTCCTTCCCCCCCCCCCAAATCATATTTATCTGAGATCATGTCAAATTTCAGTGATCGGAAATGTCTTGCCCAAAAGCCATTCCCACTGGAAAAAGTCAAAAGGGTTCCTGGCATTAAAACAACCTTGCGTCATTCCTGATGAAATTAGCAGTGCTGCGTGTTTAGAGCTTTGCTATGGATGCACTTTGGTCACAGTAAGAAGTAAGAGATTTGGGGTTTAAACCCTCCCCCCTCCCCCCCCCCCCATCTGAGTAGGAGCCATTGGCTTTCACTAGCTGCACATCCCAAGACCAGTACTCGAAAGCACCTCAGCCCCACAGTCCATTTTTTCCTTGTCTTTAAGTGCAAGCGATGGGAATTGCTAACCTTGGCTAAGAAAATTTCATTTCCTCCATCATGCTAAATGGCTCTGGTCGACATATGTTTGTTATCAGAGAGAGGTGCTATGAACACAGAGCCATTTTCTTAGCAGCTCTTTGACTCTGTGTTACCATAGTCCCACACGGCATTGGTCCTTTCCCGTTGGGAAGTCATGAATAAGAGACTATGAAGCTTGCACGTCAGATCTTCCTCAATTAATCCACCATTAGCATGTTTGGGATCCTCTACTGGATGGTTAACAGCAGCTTTGGTAACTGTATGCTGTCCATACCCAATTATGCTCTGCTAAAAATGAACTCTGCAGAACAACCTTCCTGAGCTGTCAGTGTCTCCCGTTTTCCTATTTTAACGCTTGTGTGTAGTGGCAGGCGACAGATGGTGTAGATCAGATCGATTTGATTGCATTAGGCGATTTTTTTTTCCTCCTCTCCCCCCCGACTCCTTTTCTGGAAGCCCACATTCATCTGAGAGGCGATCGCCGGGGACATGGGAAGCAAGAGCAGCCGCCGATGTGTGAAAGCAACGAGACATGGCCAGCCAGAGGCGCCGGGTCCCTTCCCGGGGTTTGTTAACATGGTAATCCGGCACCAGGAGAGAAAGCTGTTTGCTGCTGCCCACAGCCCGTTCCCCATCACACATCAGATGACTCCCTGGTTTTACACACAGTTGGAGTTCTGCTCGAAGCCTGGATTTAAAGGGTAAGCGCTTCAATAGAGGTGGATTTCTGGTGGTTACTCGGGTAGGTGGCAAAAGGAGCAAGCTTTCAGTGATTTTAGGAAGAGGCTGCCTTTGAGCGGGCGTGAATATTTTCTTCCTTCCTCCTTTCCTTCTTTCCCTTCCTTTTTGTTTTATTTTTTAATTTTTTATTCCCTCTTCCCCCCACCTCCCCACTTTCCGTTCTCCCCCCCCCCTTCAGATCAATTTCTCGCAACCCCATCGTGCCTCTCTATTGACGGATAGGCTCTGTATCTCCCCCCCCCCCCACCTCTGAAATTCGCTTTTCGTGGCAAACCCGAGCTCTGCTCAGAGCTCCGCTGCTGATAGCTTAATTGTTTAATTCCCTCCACCCGTTCTCCTCCCTTCCGGCCGCCTCCCCGCCCTCCCCAGGCACGGCAGAGGCGATGGAGGTTCCCACTGGGGCCCTTCCCCGGCCCCGCCGTGCTGGGGCTCCGGTAGCCGGGCTCTTTCTGCGGGGAAGCGCCGGTAAACATGGCTTTCGGAGCCGGTGAACAAAGGTATTTAGTGCCGAGGCGGCACCTCCCGCATGCAGCGGGGAAGGTGCGAGGCGAGCAGCGCGGCGGGGTGTTCGCTCCCCTGGTGCTCAGCATGCCCGGGGGGGGGGGGGGTAGGGTGGAGGGGAGGGTGGAGGAGAAGAAAGGGGGGGGGGGGGGTGCGACGGGGAGCGCCTGTACCGGGTTGGGCTGGGGCGGGCAGGGACCTGCCGGCGGGAGGAAGTGCGGAGCGGCGTGGGGTGCTCAGCGCTGACCGGAGCTGTCCGCAACCCCGGTGCTGAAAGGCCCGGTGGGTCGGTGGGGGTCGGTGCGGGGCCGGGCAAGGGAAGTTTCGGCAGATGCGGTATTAGAGGGGGCTTGCGGGGGGGGATGCCGTTCAGGGGAAGGGCAGTGCCAGACGGACAGAGAACTGCATGGATTTCCCCGAGAATCGCATGTTTTAATATGAAAACACCAAAAAATAATCCTCAACACCCCAAAGTTTGGATTTTTGCCTAATTCTTTTGTGGAGCGGCTCCAGATTTCGGGGAACATCGGTCCAGGTGTGCCGCCGTAGAGTGTTTTCGCCACGACTCGGTGCGTTTTACTTCTTTTCAAACGGCTTTTGTTCAAGTTGAAGGAAAGCCACCACATCGGTTATTTGAGTTGCAACGGCAGCTAAATGGGGTTGCAGCCTTCAATTTCACAGCGGGGAAAAATGACAGTGTTTGGTATTTACTTTCCAGCTGCCATTTAGAATACGACTTGAAAGCTTGCTGTTAGAGGAATATAGGAAATTACACCTAAAATGAGATTAAAATAAAGGAGAGTGAATGGGATTATTTTTTTCTTAATTTAAGATTGTATGGCTATCAAAGTATTGTTTTTTCTTTTTCACTTTGTTTTTCTCTTTTTCTTTCAAATTCAGACTCTGACTTACAAAACACATGCTGTCTTCTCGTATGTTTTCATAGGAAGAATAGTGGTAATATGTCAAGGGAAACCAGGGCTCATGTTAAGGAAGGAATCTGTAGAAAAAGCAAGCATTAGAATCATAGAATCAATCAGGTTCGAAAAGACCTTTAAGATCATCAAGTCCAACCCTGCATCTTGTATTAATTTCAGTCGGAATCTAATCAACAAGCTGGTCAGTTACCGAGTGCGGTGGATAATGAGAGCGGTGCGTGCTGCATAATTACTCCTGGCTGCAGAAGTGCGGAGCATCCCCGCTCTGCGCGGGTCTGGCGGCGCATTGCCAGCTCCCCCCACACACACCACTTTTCACGCGTCAATCCTACAGAAGCTGTCTGGTCCTCAAGCATCGGGTGCCGGGGTGAAATAACCCGGCGAAGTTCCCAATCGCCAGGAGAAGTGTGCTGTGCCATGACGTTGCAGAGATCCTTTCTATTTAGTTGGGCGAACAATAAACGTTTATTATCACCGCGGCAGATCATCAGACAAAGCTTTCCCCTCCCGCCTCATCCCCCCCCCCCCCCCCCGCCAAGTGCGAGCGCTGCTGATAAGGGAACGCGCCTGGTGACAGGCAGAGCCGCAGGCACCGTTTGGAAATAACTTCTTTTATTATTATTATTATTACTATTTTTCTTCCCCCCCCCCCTCCCCCCATCCCCGGTTCGCCTTTTGAGAGCGCGTGCGGGGGGGGGGGGGGGGGGCGGCGGGTGTCAGCGCGGTGGTTGCGCTGCCGCGAACGAAGCTGCCCGCCCGGCTCGGTGCCTCGCAGCCGCCGGGCGCTGCCGTTCTGGCACATGCGGGGAGCCAAGCGCGCTGGATGTGTACTTTGAAGCCTTTTTCTCGCCTTAGATTCTGATGGCACTTGGGTTTTTTGATGGCACCGGGGAGGCCCGGCACAGGAGCGAGCGCCTCTGCTTGAGCTCGGAGCCTTTTGCGGTGTCTTTCTTTGATTTTCTTTCTCTTTGCCGCTCTCCTTTCCGCCCTCCCTCCTCTTGGTAGCACACCGAGTCAGTGTGAGTCAGGACTTGTAAAATGCGTTTCGGAAGCCCAGATGAAAAGTCTCTCAGGCGTGGCTGCTGCCTTATCGGAGCTCTCCCAAGCCCACCTATGCAAATAGATTTGTAATATTTGTGTGTTTAACCGTGTATCTCTCTTACAGGAATCTGTTGCTGCGTGTGTCATCTCTTGCAAGCTCCCAGAGAGAACTGATGGAGCACACGGGCAGGGAATAGGATGCCAGAGAAGCACAGAGGGAGAAACCAGGCGGTCACCAGGTAAACTCAACCTTACTTTGATTTATTTCCTTTCACCTCGCCTGCGAGACCTTGCCCACTCCAGTGAGGCAGCAGGAGAGCAGAGGGACTGGACGCGTGTGTATTAAACGCCTGCTCTTCTCATTTGCCTCCGCAGGATGGGAAGGTTCAGCGTCCATTGGATATGGGACAAGATCACTCGGCAACCCTTGTGGATTCTCCTTCTTCTAGAGGGGAATTATAGTTATGGATTTATTGTCCCGGTGCAGCACTTCCACCGCCACCACCAGCAACAGCAGCAGCTTTCTGACTCTCTTCGGTGACGGGTATTCTTGGGTGGATAATACGGATTACGTTGTTATTGCTTAAGAATACGCGTAGTCGAGGAGAGTACCGGCGGCGGGCAGGCAGGCAGGCAGCGCGACCGCCCCCAGCCCACCAGCTGGCTCCTAACCTCCTCTAGTTGCCAAGGTAGCACCTTTTCCATCTTTTCCTACGCTTTGCAATGTTTCACTCTGTCTGTGTCTCTGCCAGGGCGGGGGGAGCTCGGACGCCCTGTTCCCCTGCGGAAGGTGGGGGGGGTGATGCCCGCTGCTCTGTGTGTGTGTGTGTGTGCGTGTGTGAGCAAGCCCGCGGCTGGGGAGACGGGGAAGGCTTTGCTAAGCCTCGTAGGAATGAACACACTGCAAATGGCCCCCGGGGTGCCGGGGCCGCCGGTGGCGAAGCTGCTCGCCGCGGCTGGGAAGCCCCGGCACCGACCGGCCCGCGGCCCCCCGCTCCTCTCTGGCAGGGACAGGGGGACCGGGGGTCCCCACCGGCCGGGCACGGGCTGCCCGCAGGGTCGGGGCGGCCCCGGCTCCGCCTGTGCCTGCCGCCGGAGCCCGGGATGCGGCCCCACCGCAGGCGCGTTGTGCGGGACGGGGAGACGGCGAGCAGCCCGCACGCCCACTGGGGACACTCCTGTTCCCAGCCTGGGTCGCTGCTAGGGAGCAGGTTGTGGCCGGTTGCATCGTGGGGGTTATGCCCCCCTTGCCCTCACCCTACGGTACCAGCCCGGTGGGAGCAGGATTAGAAGCCAGCTTCACGCTCAGCTGGTCGGGAAGCACCCAGAGCTCATCAGCCTGAGGCCCCACCTTGTTCAGGGCCAAGAGGTTGTTTCCCTAGATGGAGCTCAGGTGGTGGCTTCTTTGCCCCTCCCCATACCCCCAAGAGTTCAGGACTCCCCAAATCCTACTTGCGGGTGGGAGACACAAGCAAGGGAGCACTGATTCCCATCACTAGCCAAGCCATGCCTCATCTCCAACACAGAAGAAGAGGTGCATCTGTCCCTCTCTCCAGTCTCAGCAGCAGGGCACAGCCTTTGGTTAAAGCCTGGTTAGCCTCTCAGATGCTGTGCTTAGGAAAATGCAGGCATAGCATTCATGCTTTCAGTCTTTTTTCCCCTGCTCCTCTGCCCCCAAGACTGGCAGAGGCAAGGAGCAGGGTGTGATCATCCCTATGTTTCCCCATTTGAGACGTCTCCGCACGCCCGGATGATCCCAGGTTTTGCTACCTCGTAGTTGCAATTGTGAGACCACATTTCAGCCTGAAATGAATTAGATCAGGAGCCATTTTAAAGCAAGACCAAGAGTACTGTGATGAGATAGCCTTTTTGAATGGATCCTTCCCATAAGCTCAGGCTAAGAATGATTTTTAACATGGGTGAGCCAGACATGGGGTGAGCGTTAGGTTGTGAGCGAGAGGTGGGATGATGGAGAATGTCTTTCTCTCTGTCTCTTGCTTAGCAATTGAAAGGCCATCCATGTTCTGCTTAATTATTTCCAACAACTGCCAAAGGAATCTTACTCTGTTGCCTTCAGTAGCGAGTGGAGTGCTCGTTGTTACACAGATGTGTGGATCTGTTATTCTTTAGACACATCTTTGATGCTAGCACTCTGATCCTCGTGTTCCTCTAATACCACTTGAAAGCAGCTTTTTTCCTTGTAGTTTAGTATGTTCAACAGCCTCAGAAATAATGTTAAATTACGCTTTAAAAAGACACCATCAGCTGCTAAATCCTAGTCAGTTCAGCACCATAACACAAGCCACATTCACAAGCGCTGCAGGAACAGCGATGGAAAGCACTGTTTTAAACAGCCAGGTTTGTATTACAAACCTTCCTCTGATCTGAGCTTTCAGTTGACATTTTCCCTTGAGTCACGACTTAGAGTATTATCAGGAGTTCCCATTTCATCACATAAAGGATGTGGTTTTGTTTGCTCTTTGCTTGGTTGAGTATCTTGCGCAGTACGGATTGGACTGGTCTCCATAAATACAAGCTTGGCAAAATGTTCCTTTTATACCTAGTTCCTTCTGGTTGCTTTCTGTTTAGCATGATGAGCTGGTTTTGCTGAATAATGCCTTAATGACAGGGCTGATGCATTTTTAATGCGTATACTCTTTGTCACTGTCAAAATTAACATTTTGATGATTGTGGATTTCTTTCCTCTAAAACCTGTGGGGAATTGCTCTGATACTGTGGGTTATGAGAGCGAAACTGTAAGGTCCGATCGGAGAAATACTGGATGTGCTCCCCAAAAGAACCATGAACTATTGTGAGCAGCAGGAGGGCTCTTGGAACGCTGTTTCCCAATAGCATGGTCTCAGAGTGGCTCTCCCTGTTCATTAGCAGGTCCTGGGGTCTGTCACGTCTCTATAGTGGAGGACAGAAGCAGTCATTGCTGAACAACAGATCTCTAAGAAGAGACTACTGCTACTGCAGGCCTGACTTGAGGAACACACATAGCGCCCATGCTCAAGGGAGCAAGGTTGCTCCTGTTAAATCCAAAATATCTGGGGCCAAATCCGTTGCTTGATGCAATAGTAAAGCCCCAATTGATTTCACTGCGGGAAAGATTAGACCCCTAGTGAAAGGGGTTTTTACAGCACTACACTCCCTATTTTTTTGCCTTAGAAATTGCGAATCCTGTGTGCTAAAAAATGACTCTAACCCCCCCCCCCCCTGCCTCTAATGAGACTCTATGAACAGCAAAACAATAATACTAAAAGGCTGGAGTGCAGCATAATAAGAAATTACTTTATCAATACGGGGTTTTAATTGTACCAGTACGAGTATTCTCTAAGACAACGTTATAGAATGAGGCTTGTGGCAGCCCCAGCCGTGTGTTAACAGCTAGTTTGGCGAATGCATATTTCATTCGTTCAGAATACTGAATTTCTGTTTGAAAATTTGGGTTTTTTTGTAATCTGCATCCTGATAGAAAATTAAATAAAGAATTAGCCGCAAAGAATTACTGTAATTTGGCCTTTTTGGGGTTCTTTTTAAAGGCCATAATCCCATGAAGATTTCTGTCTCTGGGTAATTTTATCCACTGGAGTAGCCTCCCTCCAAGGCCGCTCCTTTAGGTAAGTCTTTGTCATGCCAGGGCCTCTGTAGCAGCACAGCTGATGGATGGGGGAGCAGGCAGTGGGGTGGCAGCCACCCTGGTGCAGAGCAGGGTGCTGCAGGGTCCCCCCAAGCAGCCACCCTGCTCTGCAGTGGGGAGGCAGCAGGGGTCTGCCCCAAGGGCTGTGCACCTCAGGCACATCATGCCCCATGATGGGATTTGGAGAAGGAAGAGTAGTTTTGGTCCCTGTTGTCCTGTGCAGACAGAGGAACAGCCCTGTCTGGGTCTACCTATAACAGGGAGCATCGCTCTGCTTAGCAATACCCTAAATTAGGTGCCATTTGATTTCAGGTGCTCTACATACCAATATTTAAGCCTACAACCCTTATACGTATGTTCATAGCTCTAAATGGAATGAATATATAATATACACACCCCTCCGAAGGGAGGCTGGAGCCTAATATGCAGAGCCCCACTCTCCCAGATAGAGGCACAAGTCCCACTCACCTCAGCAGGGCTGTGCTGTTGTAGTGTGTATTTGTGACCAGTGCTGGGATTCCTCTTGTGGCCCACAGATTTGCCTACAATAAACACATGGAGATATGTACAGTTAGGAAGATACATTCCCTTGGGATCAGTTGTGCTTTCTTTCCACTTTGAAGACTATAGCTGATTTTGAGGGGAGTGGAAGGTTTCTTCCCATATCCGTTTAGGTTCTAGTGTTCATAGGTTTTCCTGAAGGAAAACAGTAATACCTGTACATCCACAGAGCTATACACATGCTTTGCAGCTGTAAGAATAAGCTAACTGAGCCTTTTGTCTCTGGGTTTTTATATTATGCTGGAAGTGATCTATACAAGTGGATTTTTATGCTGCTTTTCTAAGATAAACAGTGACTTTCCACACACAAAAGGCTTTTCCTTCTCTTCCTTCGAAAAGATTGCTGCTTTTCTGAAAAGCAGCTCCTAGGTATTACCCTCAGCTGTTATGACACCTCACCATTTAGTGTTGTAAACTTAATCATAACACTCATTAGTAATAATCCTAATTTCTTTTACCAGATTCAGCATTTGCCTCCTGCAAGCTTCAATGGCGGAAACATTCCCTGGGCTAACGCCCATGCTGCTTGCATGCTTTTTATTGCTATTATTTAGTAACCAAACGGCTCAAAAATCAAAGGACTTGATTATCACGTACCTGCAATGCATAGAGCTATTTATAAATGTTGGCTCGATAGGAACAATGACTCAAAACTTATTCAAATGACAGGCCAAAAATAAGGAGTCTAAAAGTGAAAACCCAAGCCAGAATTCATAGAGGTGATGGGAAGAGCCTGACATCGAAGGACAGAGAGGCTCCTAGGGGAGGTAAAGAGAAGAGGCCTGGAGGTGATGGTAGAGGGTAAATGTGCTGTGGCTCTGCAGAAAGAGCAGATGAGAGGAGATGCACCAGGCGAGGAGGTATTGCAGTGTGGCACTGGGAGGATGCACCATGAGTTGGGAAAGCAGGGTTGGAACAGCGCGCACAGTTGGTCGTTTGCTGTCTGGAAAAACAGTATCTAGTTAAAAGCGACCAAGTGAAAATGAGGTGAAATGTTCCAGAAACTAGAGGGGTTGATTGATGGGAGAAAGAAGAGCCCTCAATATATAGCTGAAAGGAAGTTGTTTCATATATATTTGTGTGCGTGTTTGTGTGTATATATATATATATGAATATACATACCTAGCCAAAATGACATAATAATACCCATATAGACAAATGAGCATCCTGCTTTTGAAACCATTCTCCTCCAGTGGGAATTTTCCATGGATTTCAGTGGGCCCAGTGTTTTCTCCTGTCTGCAAGAGTGCGCTGTATTCCGACGTGCACAAATAGACCCAGGAGCTATGTAGGGAGAAAATGCAGCGTGGCCACCAAGAAATGTTTCCTTTATAGGGAGTCCAATACTTCTCCAGCCAGCGGGAATGATAGAAAGCAATGGAGCAATCTCCAGGTGGGAAAACCCTTTCCTGGGAGATAGAAAATTAGCTTGGCCAAGACACTGCAGCCAGTAGTCACCTATGGGAGCTGGACAACCTTCTTGCT